GAGGGGGGGGGTTGTAATACAATATTCCCAGAGTAGTGTAATTCTATTTCTGATCACAAGACGTCAGTGTTGTGCTACACAGAGTCTAATTTTACTTAACTACCACTTTGAACAAAAAATCATCCATAATATTAGCCTGCAATCATATTTTCTCAAATATTTATTTGTGTCTAGCTAAAAGAGACCATGAGGACCAGTCTGCTAAGATAGCTAAGAAGTCTCCCCATCTTCAAGATAAAAGTGCCTCTCGTCCAAAAGGTAGAATCACAGATTCTGTGTGTATGGTTTCATCTATTCTGTGGCATAACTTCTTTGAAATGTGAAGTGTGACTGTCTTAAAACATGTTTCTTCCATTAGTCCTGCTTCTATCTTTACCTTTAAGTGGATAAAGGCAGTGACAAATGTCTGATGCACTTTGTTTTGTTCACTTTGTTGATTCATATCCCAACAGAAGAAATTGACAACGGTGTCTCAAATGTTCCAAAGACAAATACAAAGAAGAAAATGATTGGCCCAAGCAGGGTAAGTATTGTAGTAGTAAATAATTATGCATGTGCAAAATTATGCACATTATGCAACAGCTCTACTTAAGACATAAGATATGTAACCAATGATTAGTAAACAAAAGTGATAAATAAGTAGCCCTAAAATAAAATAATAATAAATAAATGAATAAAAATGTCAGAACATTTAGAACACAAGAAATCACAAAATTAAGTTTGTTAGTTTATTAACTTATAAAACTACTGATATACTATTCTAAATTAAGACAAAGTATTTAGATATTTTAACGAGATATGTCCAAAGCAAATATGATTAATATCATGGTAGCTCTGCTAGCTAGAACACTTTTTGGATACAAAAAGCAAAACAGTAATATTGTATTAATATTTCAAATTATCACTGTTTGTACAAGATCACTCTACTAGGTAGAACACTTGTGTGATCCTTGAGTGTGTAAATACTTTTTGGGATCACTGTATGGATCTGAACATGTAGAATTTGTCTGTAACTTACAGTAAGGTTCTAGAATTAGTTTTCATATATTTCATATGATATTTAGACATTTCTACCTTTATTTCTAGCCTCCTGTGACCATGTCTAAGCAGTACCCAGAAGATGACCCCGACTACTGCGTTTGGGTTCCTCCATCGGGTAAATAGCTGCCTCTCTTCACCCCTGATGATTGTGATATAATTAAGTCCTGCCTGTACTGTTAAACAAAAACCCTAAACAACTGCTTGTTTCTTTGCGCAGTTAGAAATATGCATCAAAAATCAAGCATTCTTGGCACTGCACCCTTTAATCTCAATTTACAGGCTTTCACTGAATGCTAAACATCATATTAGCTTTTGATCTTAGGACACTTCAATCACAGTTCTGACATTTCTGGGGATTAGAGAAGTTGCTTTATGGGAAAACACATTGATTCCAAGCCAAGGAATTTATTTTAAAGTCAGGAGGTTATTATAAGATAAGGTTCTCTGTTTCTTAGGGGGAAAAAAAGAGAGAGCGAGATCCAGTTTCTGCCAGAATCCATTTTTGTCGGGATGGTGCTTAAGTTGTAATCATGTTAAGCCAACAAATGGCCCTCGTTACTATACTGTATTAGCCATATGGCTATCTATGACTTTATCAAAAGATAAAGACATAATGCGTTCTTTAATCTGCTTTGAAAGATTTTTTGCTCAATGTAGACTACTGCTCAAAAGCTTGGGGTCAGGAAGATTTATTCATGTATTTATTAAAGAAATACATCATTTTATTCAGCAAGGATGTATTACGTTTATCAAAAGGGACTGTTTATCTAAGTATCCTAAAAATGTATCACAGATTCCACACAAATATTAAGCAAATATTTCTTGAGCACCAAATCAGCATATTAGAATGATTTCTAATGGATCATCTGAATCAGAAGACTGGACTAATGGCTGCTGAAAATTCAGCTTTGCATCACAGGAATAAATGACTTTTTAATATAAATTAATTTTTGTAAAATTGTAATATTTCACAATCACACTCTTTTACAGCATATTTAATTAAATAAATGCAGCATAGGTGACCCTGAGGCTTGTTTCAAATATATAAAATGACCCCAAACTTTTAAATGGTAGAGACTTTCAGATTATTAGAGACTTTAGACATTATTAAATTATTGCCCATTACCCACAATTCTTTTTGTGACGCCATAGCATTATTGATGACAGAATGAAGAATATTCAAATTTTATTGAAATGTATGATCTGTCCTCTTTAGATGTTGTCTTGCAAATTCATTGCTGGCTAATCCATTTGTATATGAATATCTAACCATAAAAATGGAACCTTAGGAAATGTCCCTGCTGCAGAAAAAGTGATTATCGTGAAATCCTTCTCATTATGAAAGTCAAATAAATGCTTTGTAGTTGCCATTTCATGTTGTCATTAACCAGAAAAGTTTAGCAGGTGAAACAAAGAGACCATTTTATCCCGTGTGTCTGTTTTGAACAGGTCAGAGCGGTGATGGTCGGACACATCTGAACGATAAATATGGATACTGAATACAGAAATGAAAGACCATCCTCTCTGGATCAGGAAAGGAATCAGCCCAAACGTTCATCTTAGCCCTTGGAGTGGACAGATATATCATTTTTTCCCATCTTCATTTCCATACAGTGAACTTTTTGACAGACCTCTCTAGCTCTTGTTAGTGGAAACTGTTAGGTCCTGTGACTGAGTTTCACTTCCCTTTGCCCTGTTTTCATTCAAACACATCCATTTTCCACACCTGGTCGGAGACCAAGGATTTTGGAGTGGAGGTAGCTTAAGGTTGGGGAAAAGATTATTCTATTTCCAGGGTTGTTTTCATGGGCAAACTATAATTTCTTCATATTTTGGAGTTTCTGTTTTGCTGCTTATTCAATTCGAAATGTATTCCATTTGATGTTATATTTTCCTCAAATACACCATGCTACTGTAATGTCAGTCCATTTATGTTTAAGCACTTCTGTTGTTGACTAATCTCTACCCACAGCTTGCTGTTCTGGGATCATTTTAACAGGCATAAGCAAGCTCATTGACCACTCAATCCGCTGTTCTGGGTTCATTCTCGGAACAACGGCGGACTCCCTCCTCAGTTTGGCTGAGTGGCCACGCTGCGTATGGCGAGAGCTCCTGTTGGACGCGCTTCTGTTGACTGCTAACGATGCCTCCTTAGAGAGAGGCGGCTTTACCAGCCATCTGGACACTTGCTTGGCATTCTAGATTTGGAGCAAGCTGTTAATGAATCAGTCTGTGTGTGTGTGTTTGCAAGAAAGGGAGTGAGAGTGAGCTCCGTGTACATTATTTATGTGCGTATTCACTTCTCTTGATATTAATGAAGAGTGACTCAGTGTTGGTGATGTGCGAGCTTGTGTGTGTTGGCGTCTCCGAGGATGGATTAGGCCCCCCACATTCACTACTACGCACTGGTCTCTCTGTTTATCCAACCCTTTTAGTGCTTTTGAATTCTCCATTGTTTGGAGAGCATGATTAGTCGCATACAAAATGTGTATTTTGTTACTTGTATTTTGTAAAAAATAAACATGTACGCTGTGTCTCATCGATTTGGGGTCTTGTGTTGAGTGTTTGGGGTATTTTAAGTTATAACCCTATAAAGCCTACTTTATCATATTTGCTAAGTACATTTCTATTGCTTCTAAATGATCTGTACAAAATGTACATGCCTTATAATTGATTTTTTTTTTTTTTTTTAGCAAGTAAAAAGCCCTTTAGAGTAATTCTAAAAATGTTCCTCTTCAGGTCCTGGTACATGTGTTTTCTTTTCTTTTTTTCTCCTGTCAAACCTTTTCTGATTTTTATAAAGTGAATTTAAAAAAAATTATAATTTACATTGTATGTAATATTGTTACAAGCTTGTTCATTTAAGAAAAAAAAAACGTTTTATTTAGTATATTATATTTATATTTATTTTAATTATTTTTAAAAACATGTTCAAGGCCCAATTTAAGGCATGTTCAGGCATGTCTCTGGATACACTCCGTTTAACCCACCAGAATACTTGCTTAAATGAAGTTGTCACATTTGTACTACATTATCTCTTAATTATCTATTATTAATAATAATAATAAATGTTATATATATATATATATATATATATATATATATATATATGCAGCATATGCAAAAAAAAAACGCCTCTAACACTAGCTTGCTCTATTTCTATTCTATCTGTTTTATTTATTATATAATTAAAAATGTACTGGGTTAAGCTAACAGACTTGTTATAGCACTTGCAAATCATTGCTCTTTTGTTGATTTTGATTGCTTCCTCATTTGTAAGTCGCTTTGGATAAAAGCATCTGCTAAATGACTAAATGTAAATGTTAATGTAAATATATGATTAATGCAATAAGGCAACGACTGCCTTAAGTCTGGAACTCATGGACATCACCAGAGACTGGGTTTCCTCCTTTGCGATGCTTTGCCAGGCCTTTACCGCAGCTGACTTCAGTTATTGTTTGTTTGTGGCTTTAGTTTTGTCTTTAACAAGTGAAATGCATGCTCACTTAGCCATTGCAGAATATTCCACTGTTTAACCTTCAAAAACCCCTGGGTTGCTTTTGCTGTGTTTTGGGTCATCGTCCATTTGTACTATGAAGCGCCGCCCAATCAACTTTGCTGCATTTGGCTGAATCGGGACAGACAGTATATCCCTATACACTTCAGAATTCATCCGGCTGCTTCTGTCTTCTGTCACCAATAAACACCAGTAGCCAAGTGCCACTGGAAGCCATGCATGCCCATGTCATCACACTGCTCCACCATGTTTCACAGCTGATGTTCCATGCTTTGGATCATGAGCTGTTCAAAGCCTTCTCCATACTTTTTTTCTTCCTGTCATTCTGGTACAGGTTGATCTTAATTTCAGCCACAATGCTTTTGCGGAAGTGCTCTGGCTTTTTTAGATGTTTTTTGGCAAAGTCTAATCTGGCCTTGTTTGCACCTTGTGGTGAACCCTCAGACACGCCTACTTCATGGAGAGTGTTTTTCACTTGGCTGGATGTATCAAAGACATATCAAAGAGCTGTTATACCTTAACCTTTCCTCCAATTGTAATGAGTACAATGAGTGCAATACTCTCGAATTGAAGCTCAGGGTGTGCACTTTAAGCCTGTATTAATTATATAACTGTAACTCGAATATGTTTTGGTCAGCAGCTAAAGTAATAAAAAATGTTCCTGTGTCCAAATATATGGACCCGACTGTATATATATATATATATATATATATATATATATATATATATATATATGGTTACTTATACTTTAGTTACTGATGTTTTTATACTCATATTTTTTATATATATTATTATCTATATTGTGCAAAAGTACATTTTTAAAATACATTTTGCATTTAGCCAAAATGTATTTTAAAATAGGAAATTTTCTTGCCTTTTTTAAGTACATTTTGTAATATACTATGTTATTTGAAGGTTCAAATCAAAAATAAAATGCAAAACAATATTACTAATCTGTGCTGATAAAAATACATATTCCTAAGCTGTGCTGTTTACAACATTATATATTGCTGTATGGAAAATGTTCTAAGCAATTTTATCAGACTATATTCAAGGAGGTTTTTTTTTTCTCCAGGAAGTTGTGAGACATAAGAGTTCAGTGTGGTCAGCAGGCCAACTGTTCAGCTGACAAAACATGCTAATGTTTAAAACTATGAATTGAATGGGGTTTGCAAATGCTATTAACAACTCAACTGCTTTAGATCACTTTGCATGGTATTTTACGAATGTCCCATTTGCTAACTATACCCATTCCAAACTGAGTGTGTACACACTGCTTATCCTACAGGAAACTGGATTTGAAAGGCATCTGATTGAACCATATTATTCTAGAGTATCTTCTAATCAGGCTGCACACACCCATCTTGATGTCTTCATTTCTGGCTTACTTCCTTCAGCCCCTCATCATAGCTGGGCACTGACGTCACTCTCTGGTTCCCTGAACACAAACACACAGCTTATTGCTCTGTTTGGGATCTGGCACAGATAGGCCTGTGGAATCAGCCCACGCTGGAATGAGAATGCTCCTTTGGGGTGGATATGGAACCTGCAATGTTGGCAGACTCACTTATCGCCCGGCACACGCACATTCACAGTAAAAAAAAATAACACAACCTTCACACAAACATCTTATTACATCAAGAAACAACTCTCATGAGAGTGGAAAGTGGCTTTTGTGAAGCATGTTTATGTAATCAGGGTAAAATGAGACACGGACATTTAGATGCCCCTTACTTATGCATCATTCGCATTGAGGCAAGGTTTCCAAAAGGGGGTCCACAAGTTGGTGAAAAGTTAATTAACTGATAAAAATAAGTAAATAAATGGGGCTGCACAACTGTAAAAAAAAAAAATATAATAAATAAAAACTGAAATTGTGATATAGCTTAGTGTGATTATCAAATATTTTATTAAATATTATATACAAGTATAGCATCTCAGAGTTGCACGGTTCACAGTAAATGCAAACTCCATCTTTTCATTTGCTGAGCTTAGTGTCCATTTGGGAACATAATGTGCAGTAGGATCACTTTATTTACACATTCGCAAAATTTCAAACCTTTTTGTGGCCAGACATTTAGAGCATTTTACCGGTATTATGCCAAAATAAACGTTTATGATTTAAAAACTTAAAAGCATGATAGTGTGAACTTTTTACAAGTGAAGAATTTAAGACAGAAATATTAGTATTGTAATGTTGTTGAAAATAAAAGATTATGAAATATCATAGTATTAATTATTATTAATATATTATATATTAATTAATTATATATTATATATATTAATTATATATATAATGTATACTATAGTACATTTGTCATTTACAATATTTGTAATTTTTTTAATAATAAGAGATAAAACTACTACAAAATAACTTTGTTTTGGTCAGTCATTAAGCCCTATATCTAAATAATTTTAAAATAAAAACAGTCAAAAAAACATTTACATTTACATTGTCATTTTGCAGAAGCTTTTATCCAAAGCGACTTACAATTGGGGAATACATAAAGCGATTCTTCTTAAAGAGGCAAACAGTCACAGGAAGTGCTTGTAATACCAAGTTTTAGGCATTGTTCAAATAAGTACAAGCTAGAAAGGGAAGGAATAAATAAAGAGAAAGACATTTAAATTTTTTTTTTGATGATGATGAAGTCAAGTAGCATTTAAAGAGATGAGTTTTCAGCTGTCGCTTGAAAATTGTCAGGGATTCAGCATTCCGGATAGGGGTGGGAAGATCATTCCACCAGTCAGGAACAGTGAACGAGAATGTTCTGGAAAGTGATTTTGAGCCTCTCTGTGATGGTACCACGAGACTTTGCTCACTAGCGGATCTCAGACTTCTGGAGGGGATGTAGATTCGTAGTAGTGAGTGGAAGTAGGCAGGTGCTGAGCCTGTGGCTGTTCTATATGCAAGCATCAATGTCTTTTTTACGCTTGCACAAGGTGGTTTTTCAGGCAAAGGGCAATATGAAAATTCGCAAAACTGCAATGGAAACGGCTTTTTCGCATTTACAGGTCACATGGCGTATGTAAAAAGTCATAAAGTCATA